AGTTTTAAAGATGCAAAGCGTCATTGGTTTACGGAGGAGAGGTCATGCTGTATGGATATAGCTCATCTAATTTTCAACAATGTGTTTGATACTGTTCCACCCAGACAACTCATAAATAACTTACAAAAGTTAGTACTTTATCCTTGGATGCCTCACTGAGTACACACAGTATTATCTTCTGTAGTCTAAATACTGTAGTCATTCTAAGGGGATGCTGATAGGATTATATGCCAAATGTTTAATGTCCACTGGTTTTAGTTTATATCATTAGTTAACACACGGCCAAAGCATTATAATAAAAAAAAATGCAATGCAAACAATCACTCATTCAATAATAGATAATAACCCATCAATTCAAATCATAAATAACATTTCACAGATCTGTCTTACATAAAAAATAAAGATGGCTGATGAATGTTATGAATTTTAAACTTTTGGTGTGCCCTGTGCTCATTATCAGTATTCATTTTATAAACAAAATCATTTTTCAAAATGATTTTTGCCAGCGGCATCTTTTCAGTGATGAAAACTAGATGAAAATTAATTGGAATTTAATCAATTGATGAAAACTATGATGACAATCAATATGTGTATTGCTGCGCCTCCCTATATATTTAAATCAAGCAATGACATCAATGTGCTAAGAAAAAATCCCAACCTAATATTGTTCAATCAAATAAATAAACATCCACATTTTCATATCAAATATTAATCAGTTCATACAATTCAGTGCTCATATCACTTCAGTGCAAATAAATAACTGGTAATCGGAAAAAACGTCCTCAATTCATAAAATATGCATATATTTCCTTAATATGTCCATGTTCCACCTCCTGTGTTTATTTCACAACTTGCAAAGATGTGCTTGCCACCAACATTCAATCCTGTGCTCACCTCCACTCATAGACCTGCCAAATTACAGGTCATATGTGCTCTTTATTAGGTACACCTGTTCAATTGCTTGGTAACATAAATTGCTAATCAGCCAATCACATGCCAGCAAATCAATGCATTTAGGCATCTAGGTGTGGTGAAGATGACTGGCTGAAGTTCAAACCAAGCATTAGAATGGTGAAGCGAGAGGATTTAAGTGACTTTGAATGTGGCATGGTTGTTGGTGGCAGATGGGCTGGTCTGAGTATTTCAAAAACTACTGATATTCTGTGATTTTCACACACAACCACCTCTAGGGTTTACAAAGAATTGTCCAAAAAAGAGAAAATATCCAGTGAGCAGCAGTTGTGTGGACGAAAATATATTGTTGGTGTCAGAGGAGAATGGGCAGACTGGTTCAAGATGATAGAAGGGCAACAGTAACTCAAATAATTCCATTCGTTACAACCAAGGTATGAATACCATTTCTGAATGCACAACATGTCGAACCTTGAAGCAGATGGGCTACAGAAGACCATACCGGGTGCCACTCCTGTCAACTAAGGACAGGAAACAGAGGAAAAAATTTGCACAGGCTTACCAAAACTGGACAATAGAACCATTGCCTGGTCTGATGAGTCTCGATTTCAGTTGCGACATTCATAAGGTAGGGTAAGAATTTGGCGTAAACAACATGAAAGCATGGATCCATCCTGCCTTGTATCAACGGTTCAAGCTGGTGGTGGTGGTGTAATGTAAGGGGGATATTTTTTTGGCACATTTTGGGCCCCTTAGTACCAACTGAGCATTGTTTAAATGCCATGGCCTACCTGAGTATTGTTGCTGACCATGTCCATCTCCTTATGACTACAACGTATCCATCTTCTGATGGCTACTTCCAGCAGGATAATGTACCATGTCAACAAGCTCAAATCATCTCACACTGGTTTCTTGAACAGTGAGTTCACTGTACTCCAATGGCCTCCACAGTCACAGATCTCAATCCAATAGAGCACTTTTGGGATGTGGTGGAACGGGAGATTCACATCATGGATATGCAGCTGACAAATCTGCAGCAACTACATGGTGCTGTCAGGTCAATATGGACCAACATCTCTGAGGAATGTTTCCAACACCTTGTTGAAAGCCCTGTACACACAATGAGAGAATATTGGACGAATGATCGTCCAGTTTTTTTTTGCATGCTAGTCTCATATTGAAAGTGGAGTTTTTAAACAACCTTCTTGATTCCCGACAGTCTGGCTTCCGCCGACATTCCACAGAAACTGCCCTACTAAAACTCACTAATGACCTACTAACTGCTAAAACCAACGGCCATTACTCCATACTCATACTCCTTGACCTTTCCGCTGCCTTTGACACAATCAAGCACCCGCTCCTCCTCAGTAAACTCCACTCCATCGGCCTCTGTGACTCTTTTCTCTCCTGGTTCTCCTCTTACCTTTCTCAGCGCACTTTCAGTGTCACATACAACTCCTCTTCCTCCGCTCCTCTTCCCCTTTCTGTTGGGGTACCCCAAGGTTCTGTTCTTGGGCCCCTCCTTTTCTCTCTCTATACCTCCTCCCTGGGCCAACTGATAACCTTCCATGGCTTCCAATACCACCTCTATGCTGATGACACCCAGATCTATTCTCCACTCCCCAGCTCACCCCCCTCAATCTCCTCACGTATCACAAATCTACTAAGCGACATATCATCATGGATGTCACTTCACTACCTCAAACTCAATCTTTCAAAACCTGAGCTTGTAATATTTCCTCCTCCCCGATCCCCCACTCACGACCTTACCATTAAGATCAACAGCACAACCATTGGTCCTTCCCCTCATGCCAGGGTGCTAGGCGTAATCCTAGACTCTGACCTCTCCTTTGGGCCCCACATCCACTCACTGGCTAAATTCTGCCGCCTCAACCTCCGGAACATTTCCAAAATCCACCCCTTCCTGACCAATGACACCACAAAACAACTCATCCACGCCTTGGTTATATCCCGCCTCGATTACTGCAACTCCCTCCTCACTGGTCTACCGTTACACAGGTTATCCCCCCTTCGGTCTATTATGAATGCTGCTGATAGACTCATAGATCTTACCAACCGATCAGTGACTGCTGCCCCTCTCTGTCAATCCCTCCACTGGCTTCCACTAACCCAATGTATAAAATTCAAAATACTAACCACAGATTACAAAGCCATCCACAACACTGTCCCTAGCTACATCACCAACCTCATCCACAGATATCGGCCAAATCGCCCACTCTGCTCCTCCCATGATATCCTCCTCTCTTGCTCCCTCATCACCTCCTCCCACGCTCGCCTCCAGGACTTCTCCAGAGCCTCTCCCATCCTCTGGAACTCCTTACCACAGCATGTCCGGCCAGTCCCCACCCTGTCTGTCTTTAGGCAATCTTTGAAAACTCACTTCTTCAGGGAAGCCTACCCCACCTCCACCTAAGAACTGTATTTGAATCACCTCCACCAGATCATCCCCCGCAGCTATCACCTTTTGTATCATCTCCCCCTTCCTTTAGATTGTAAGCTCCACGAGCAGGGCCCTCACATTCCTTCTGTACTGAAATGTATTGTAATTGTACTGTCTCCCTTATATTGTAAAGTGCTGCGAAAACTGTTGGCGCTATATAAATCCTGTATAATAATAATAATAATATTACAACAGCTAAATCTGTGTCTGTAGTGCATGTTCAAAAACCTTAATACCATAAAAAAATACATGTTCTTAAATTTTTACTTCACGAGTTTATAAGGAGTTCGAAAATTCTAGAGAAATGCTTAAATAATGCATTACAATTTGATTAAATGCTTTACATTTTAGTCAACTAAAATGATTTTAGCCAACTAAATTGTACTGGAGATTATAGTCGACTAAAAGGTCTGGAGATTTTAGTCGACTAAAATACGACTAAAATGTAAACAATTCAGATGACTAAAATACGACTAAAACTGAAATGGCATTTTAGTCAAAAGACTGACTAAAACTAATTTAAAATTTGACGTCAAAAGTAACACTGCTCATTACATTGGATTTTTGCATTTAGGGATCCTAATTTGAGCTTGCTTTGAGTGATTAAGACAGCACAGATTCACAGAAAGAAGGAGGCAGAAGCAGGAATATCCTTGCACTGCAGGTCCTCAGATACTGCTTTGGCTCCAGCTAGGTGAACAGAGAACAGCACGGTAGCAACATCAGAAAATTTTACTTCAAATCTGGTAAAACTATCAGGGGAGCAGTGCCTTAGGTGAACTCACACTGCAGATATACAGGTGCAATGCTATATTTCATGATCAATCCAGGACAGAAGGTACATTTTTTTAGGTGTACTGCTTGAGCACAATTAACATTTCTAGATGTTCCTTATAAGATAGTAAATCTTCATATTTGAATCTGCCATTACCCATGAGCGTTTGCTGGGATATAATGTAGCCTTATCTTGGATTTCTGAATGTATTTTCAATCAGCTCCTTTACTCTGGCTTTGCTGTAAACATGGTTTCTCTCTCGTCGCCAGATAGCTTTGCCAAAGTATTGTTTGGTTCATATATTGTTTTATAGATTTTTCTTTTGTTCCCATAGAATGAGCTATTGCTTCTAATCCAGATGTGTGGTTTGCTTTCTGTTTTGCTCCCACTTTAGTTGCCTTTGAGCTTGGGGCTTCTCCATTAATGATCTATGTTCTTCGTCAGCATTCTACCTTGCCTTTTATTGCTTTATTCTGGCAATATCTTGGTTGAATTTACAGCTTCCACTCCCTCTCTGTCAGCTATTACCAGAGAGGCATTTTCTGAAGGACACAGCCTGGACACATTCTGCAGTCAAATCAAATCCACCATCAGTGACAATGACAAGATGAGGCCCTCCTTGTCTCTCAGAAAGACCATACAATGGCTATTTATCTTAGGGCTGCCATACTGTCCTCACTTAAATCATTTTGTCTCCCTGGTGTTTAAATGCTGTCCAGACTTGGATACCTCTGCTTGCTTTTGACCCTCAGCTTTCTTTAATATTATACTATACAATACTGTTAGAGCATACTAAACCAGTGTTTCCTAACCTTGTTTAAATCAAGGCACCCTTTTTTTTCTTAGTTTCAGTTATACAATTTTGTAAATAAGTGATTTTTCTCCTTCACTGATGTGCGCTAATGAGGCTGCAGTGATGCGCACTGATAGGCTTCACTGATGGGCACTGATAGACACTGATGAGGTGGCACTGGTAGGTGGCACTGATGGGTATTGACAGGCATCACTGATGAGCACTGAAAGGCAGCACTCATATATGGCACTGATAGGTAGCACTGATAGGCGGCACTGATATGCGGCACTGACTGGTACTGTTAGGCTGCACTGACGTGCACTGATAGGCTGCACTGACGTACACTGATAGGCGGCACTGATTGGCAGCACTGACTGGTACTGATAGGTGGCACTGATTGGCGGCACTGACTGGCACTGATAGGTGGCACTGAAAGGCAGCTCAGATGGGCACTGATATGTGACATTGATGTGGCACTGATGGGCACTGACAGGTGGCAATGATGGGCACTGACAAGTAGCATTGATGGACTCTGACAGGTGGCACTGATGGGGCTACACTGATCATCAGGGCACATTGATCATCAGTGCCCTGATCAGTGTACATGTCCCCTCGGAGTAATGTTGAATACCGGTGTCGCAATCGTACCCCCAGAGACTGACGCAGTTCTCCATTTTGTTAAGAAATCTCCATGTTGTCCCTCATTCTCCCCTTCCCTCTCTGTTAATCCACAGGGACATATGTGTGTTGGAAGTGTTGCAGGCAGGCTGGAGCCCAGCAGGGAGCCTCGAGGTGCCTGGTTGTCTGAGAGAGCTGTGCAATATCACACCTCGTAAAAGATAACCCAAGCCTTCCCAGGAGTTCAAGGCATTCCAACGAAGCAAGAACCAGATAAACACTTTTAAAATCCATTTTTCCCCTGTGTCTCATATCTTGGAATATGAGAGACTTACATAAAAACCAGGCATATCATCAGATTGGCCAAGAGGAGACGAACAGTTTGATAGGTCACTCTGCTTGGCTGGAATACATAGGAAAGCAGAAAAGTAGATCTTGTGAACCATTCAGTGTAGAATTTCATATTTCATATCTAATCAATCCTCAGACGTGTCTGCATAATAATCTACCCGCAGGTGGAGTGTCACTTGTGCACTTAATGGCCAAAATATGAACTAGAAGAGATTTTGGCTCTAGTTTAGGTCTACGCCCAGACCTTCCCGCCCTAAACGGGGTATTGGTCCTTGACTTCCGAGACACCCCCTGCTGGGGAACTACAAAATGAGCTGTCAGGCCTAAGAAAGTTAAGTTGAAGAATTCTCCTGTTTAACATCAAACCAACTTGGGAGACTGCCCTTTCGCTCTGAAACTTGATCTGCTAACCCAGGACTTTGGCAAGTACTTTAACCTTCTAACTTCTTTCTGTTATCTCTTTGCTGTGCTGTTGCTCTGTCAAGGCAGGGGCGGTGGAATGGACAGGCAGGCCTAATGGTAGGGTCACACACCGACTTGATGACAGCCACCACCCACAGACCGGAGCCCCTCAGGGCTCGGAGTCTGAGCCCCAGGCTGCCGTTCACCAGGGCTCCTGATGGTGGGGATGGACTTGAAGCAGCCAAGGACCAGGTCGCGGCCCCCGAGTAACCCAGCTGCGGTAATGGCCGCTGCCAATGACGTATAGCTGGTGGGAACCAGATGGGAAACGATAGCGTAGTCGGACAAGCCAGGTCGATAACAGCGGGACAGACAGTACAAGACGGTAGGCAAGAATACACAGGTCATGAGCCGGGTTCAGCAACGGGAGGTCAGATAAAGGGATATGGCAGAGAATAGTCTTAGTCAAAGCCGAGTCGGTTCCAGGAGAGCAACGAGAGTAGAACAAGAGCTTGCTGCAACACAATCATACAGGACACAAATGCAAAGAGCAAGTGCAGACAACAGGCTTAAATGTGATCAACCACACCCCTCTGGGGGATGGACCGCAGAGGCCTGAAAGCATAAAAGGCTCCCACCATGCTTTGCAGAAACCTAAGATGGATGCCAGCACATAGAGCAGCATAACCTCTGAGGAAAGGTAGGACCTTGACATGCTCTCTGTATATTTTTATATATATTGGTTACATCTTTTTTCTGTAAATATTTTTTTTTGCACCCTTTTGACCTTTTAGTAATTAATCTTTCCTTCTGAAAGTGCTGAACTGTTTCTATAGCTCTTTATGGCAATTTACGAATTCCTGTCTCTAAAAGAGCGCTACTGTGTTTGTTTAACCCTCTGTATAACCGATCTGTGGTGACCGTGTTATACAGACAATTATCTCAACCATTATAGTGTTATAGCTGATATCGCCGAGTTTCTTCTTAGGCTGTACAAAAAGGAGGTGGTGGCACTGTGAAGGGTTAATTGCGCAATTAACCTGACCCAGTAACAATCGCTCCCAGGCTGCTGGTACATAGACTGTGGTCCAATTAGCTGGAAAATCGTTGTGCAGGGTGCAGCTGGGCGTGGCATTGTTACGCACGTGACATCGCGGTGTTAGATTGGCCAGGCCTTCGGTCACGAGTTTGGTGAGAAGGTCAGGGGTCTGACGCCGCATTCGTCACATACTGGTGACAGCGATCGTGGGATCACCACAACCGACTCTTCTCTCCCCACGAGCTGTCAGCGTGACAGCTCGTGAGGAGAGGAATGCCGATAAATGGTATTTCCTTATTTACATGTGATCAGCTGTTATTGGACACAGCTGATCACATGACAGAACCGATGTCTTCGGCTCTTTCCATTGATTGGTGATCCGCTGTGTCCCAGGGACACAGCGCACCACCAATCGCCACACTGCGCACCCTGGGGGCACACACACACATCATATGACATCCTCCCAGAACAAGAGAACCACCTTGTACCTGTCATTACCTTATATGGTGGGCAGGAGGCAGTTAAAATTCTGCACAATCTTGGGGCACCCCCTTCTACAATTTAAAAAAACTAAACTTAGTTGTACACAAACACAGCAACATCCACACGTGTAGGACACCCAATATTAGAGGTGATTTATTCTTCTAAAGCAAATAAACCTTTGTACTGACCAGTATTCCAATGTTTCTCTTCTAGCTTGATTCTTCTTCCTCACTCAAATAATGAGAGCCCAGTAGTGATGGAGATGCGCAAAGTAGGGGCAAAAAGGATGCTGTGCATACCAGCAGTTAGAAGATTGTAGTAGTGCGCAATGAAAACCTGAGGCTTTGTGTCATTAAAAGGCAAGCTGATCTATCTGCTGGCTTTTGTGCAATTTATGGGCAATTTTTAGACATTTTGCTAAAGCATTTCTGAAGACACCTGAAGGCACCCCAGGGTATCTAGGCACCCTGGTTGAAAAAGGCTGTACTAAACTATACTATATTGTACTATACTATACTAATCCACAGTGTACCTTGACTCAGAACAAAGTGTCCAATGACCTCTGTTCCTGATGCACCTTGCTGGTTCTTTCTGGCACCTGTCATTCAAGATCTAATATTTGAAAATCAACTCCAGACATCAAGTAAATTCAGAGCTAATGTCAGAAAGTCCCTCATTTTAAGTTTAATTTGAATAGTTTTTCATGTTCTTGCAGCCACATTTATCAAGCTTTTCATTGTTCTTCCTGGTGGGTGTGCATCCACTTGTCAGATGAATCTCTGCTGTGTAATGTACCAGTAATACAATCATGTGTAACAGCAGGACCAATACACACACAGATCTCTATTTTAATCATGCAAAATGTCTAACTGTTAAATTGATATCATCATCTATAAGGTTTTAGCTATCAGGGCAGATGAATGGCAGGATGCATATTTGAATCATTACTCAGATATGCTGTGTCTCTTGTGTTAAAGTCTATGTAAACCCTCACTTTGTAAAACAACCCGTTCAGTTTTAAAACAGAAATGAAAGGCAAAACATTTGTACATACATATAAAAAACTTTAAAAATACCTTTTTTTTTTCCCTGTTTTATAAGTGATCACATATCCTCTAAGCTCCTTATGCAGCTGACAACAGACTTCTAGGGGAGGAGAAGCAGCAGCACACTAAACTTCCCAGTGAAAGGCTGTACGGGAAAGGGGATTGGGCATGTCAGGACAAGTCTGATCATTGGAGGAAAGCAGGCTGAGTTCCCAGCACAGCTAGAGAACTAACCATGCACTGTTCTCATGCCTAGTGAAGTCAGTTTTTAATACGAAAACAGAGGACTGTCAGCAACACCAGGGATTTCACACAAAGGAAGCAATACAAAGAGAACAGGATACTTTTATGTAAGTGCATGGTACAACAGGCACATATCAGGAACATGAAATGTTGAGTTTACATACTTTTACATTTAAAGTTGAACTCCAAGCAAATAGTTAAAAACACAATAAAATACAGGGTGTCCCAAAAGTCTCCACGACGTCTTCCCACTTTAACTGCGCGTGCATTTCTCTCCTCACCAGCTGACAGCTCGTGAGGAGAGGAGAGCCGGTAATCGGCATTACTCAGAGGGGATATGTACACTGATCATCAGGGCACTGATGATCGGTGTGCCCTGATGATCAGTGTACCCCAGCAGTGCCACCTGTCATTGCCCATCAATCCCACCTGCCAGTACTCATCAGTGCCACATCAATGCCACATATCAGTGCCTACCAGTGCACATCAATGCCACATATCAGTGGCCATCTGAGCTGCCTTGCAGAGCCAACTATCAGTGTCAGTCAGTGCCACCTCTCAATGCCAGTCTATCAGTGTCAGTCAGTGCCACTTCTCAATGGCAGTCTGACTGGCAGCACCGATAGTCAGTGCCACCTATCAGTGCACATCAGTGCCGCGTATCAGCGCCCGTCAGTGCTGCCTATCAGTGCCGCCTAACAGTGCCACCTAACAGTGCCAGTCAGTGCTGTCTATCAGTACCAGTCAGTGCCACCTATCAGTGCCATATATATGAGTGCTGCCTTTCAGTGTCCATCAGTGATGCGTGTCAATGCCTATCTGTGCCACCTACCAGTGCCTCCTCATCAGTGCCACCTATCAGTGCCCATCAGTGCAGCCTATCAGTGCCCATCAGTGCAGCCTCATTAGCACACATTAGGGAAGAAGAAAAATCACTTATTTACAAAATTTTATAACAGACACTAAGAAAAAACTTTTTTTTTCAAAATTTTCAGTGGTTTTTGATTTGTTTAGCAAAACATAAAAAACCCAGAGGTGATTAAATACCACTAAACGAAATCTCTATCTGTCTTAAAAAAAGGATAAAAATTTCATATGAGTACAGTGTTGCATGACTGGGCAATTTTCATTCAAAGTGCAACAGCACTGAAAGCTGAAAATTGGCCTGGGCAGGAAGGGGGTATAAGTGC